CATAAGCTACAGAATGCCACTCCGTAAATCAGCCCAATGCCGCTGTCATCCTGCACTTCCTTCTGGCGCTTCCTGCCAGAGGCACCAGATCCACCAAGGGACACCTCCCATGTTTAGATTTGTCTGTAAAACTTGTTCTCTTCCTTTGGTCATTGTCAACAGCCTTCTTGTCCTTGACCAGGCTGCATCCAATATAAAATAAAGCTATCACTGTTTGTTTTAATCGTAGCTGGCCTAGTGGTCTTAGTTACTCCCTGGGGCCTAGCCTGACACCTATAAAAAAGATAAGCTCTCTGTAATCAGGACATCAGACTTTGGAGATTATTCCCTTGGGGTCCACTAGCATCAGTAAAATTTCCTTTCTTCTCCTGAGTTCCTGACTACTGTTGACTCAGTTTATCCCGTAACGCTTCCTTTCAGTCCAAGGGCACTGGGAATGTGCTCATTGCTGTGTCCTGTCATGCCACAGTGTAACTATTTTTTCTCAGGTCTTTGGTTTTTCCATCTAGACTTAGAAAGGCCAAGTCTTATCCACCCTCACAAGCCTCAAGTCCCAGTGGGACAGGACTAGTTAAGCAAGATTTAAAATGATATAAAGATGTGTATGCTGGTCTGTGAGTTCGATACCAGTGTATCTGTTTAGAAAAGTGACACCCTTTTGCCACCTCTACCAGAGGAAGTCGGTGGCCTGAGCCCAGGGAGCTGTCTTCAAACCCAGGCCTTCTGGTTCTTGAGCTCTCACTGACAGGCCAGGGGCCTGGGGATGCAAGGCTGGGGTGAAGATGTGATTTGGGAGCCACTGGTCGTGTTGCACAGCCCTGGTGGGGCTGGCATCACTGCTGAGGTTTAGTACAGAAGAAAGACTTTGAGAGCTATGCCTGATGAGAAGCGACAGTCTTACAAACGTTGGTGGGGAGATCAAGACAATACAAGTTAGAAAAGAAATCCCCGGAAGTTGTTGGGAATACAATACTACCCGTGAGGCCAAGTGGAAGATGGATTTCTGGACTTAATGAGAAACAAAGATGTAGTTCCTGAGAAGTGAACAACAAGGAGGCACAGAGAGACACGGATGCACAGCATGGTTGCAGTGGCCCCTGTCACTGTGCAACTGTGACCTTGAGGTGCACCATGATCTTGCAGCGTCTGTCCTATATGTGCTCCATCGCTGCCGCAGCATCGTCGCACAGCATAGACTAGGCTCCATTTCAGTGTTTTCACACGTGATGATTTGCCTCAGGAGACATTTGACACCCACTGTCTTAGGATGCTTTTGTCACAACTGGGTTGGGAGGCGGGGCACTGTCGGCCTCTAAAAGGAGAGAGGGTAGTGCTGCTGACCGTCCTGCATCCCTCATGACGGAGAACTATGTGGCTCATCACATCAGAGCCCGAGTGGGGAGGTCCTGCCCCGTGCAAACCGGCCTCACTGCATGATTCCAGGGCTTCAGAAACACGCCGCACTGTCTGTCTGATTCCATGACAGCTCTCGTATCTCACGAGAGTTACGCAGAGACGCACCTGAATTTTAGGAGGAATTCAAGCTTATTTTGGAAAACAGGAAAGAAAATGTGATTCTCTTTTAGGTAACTGATTATAATGGGGGGAGCCAGGAGGAGTGGATTATTAGGTCCCTCACATGGGACTCTGCCCAACTTGGAGAAAAACAATGACAGACCACTGGTCTGTCCAACCAAAGGCCCTCATTCAGCCTGGGAGACAAAATAAATTTGGTTATCAGGATGGCTCCCAGGCCTGGTTATCAGGCTCACAGGAAACCCTGTAAGTCTACAGAATGCCACTTTGTAAATCAGGCAAATGCCACTGTCATCCTGCACTTCCCCCAGGCGCTTCCTGCCAGAGGTACCCAACCCACCAAGGGACATTTTCCCTGCTTAAATTCATCTATAAAGCAGCTTCTCTCCCTTTGTTCTTGGTCAACAGCCTTCTTGCCTTGACTGGGCTGCATCCAGGATGAGATAAAGGTATCGCTGTTCGCTTCAGTCGTGTCCTAGTGGTCTTTGTTGCTCCTCGGGGTCTAGCCTGACACGGGCATATTCTTCAAAACCAAGAGGAGATCTACAGTGAGCAGACCCTGAGCATGACTGGCAGAGGAGGCTGTGGCCTGAGCCCACCAGTATCCACCTAGCAGTATCATCACACAGGTGTCAAAGGGGTATGTCCTGGGACAGGGGAGGGCAAAGAGCACCAGCCACTGCTGGGTGACAGGGTGTTTCTGGGAGACTATAGTCACTCCTATGTCTAAATAGCCAGGCAACTACCTCTGGTTAGGAATAAACCAGTGATTGAAAGCACAGACATGTGCTCCATGTGGTGATGCACACCTGTCATTCCAGCACTCAGGAGGCTGAGGCAGGAGAATCGTCGGGAGTTCAAAGCCAGCCTGGACTACAAAGTGAATTCCAGGACAGCCTGGATTACATACTGAGGCCCTTCCTTAAAAAGATAAACAAACAAATAGAATTATAAAGTAGAACACAGATATCTGCGCTACTCGTATGGGCTCAGTGATCTCCTGAGGAAACCAGATGGCTGCCCAGCAGCGGCATCTGCCACTGCCACCCTCTGTACATTCAGCTGTGGGTTGCCCTTTAGTGCCCTCCCTGAAAAGTAGGCACAGGGCAGTGGGTAAGAGGGAGGCCTCCTGGGAAAGGAGCAGCAGACCTCGAATGCCAGCAGCGACGCCTGGGCTGGACAAGCCCCTTCCCCACCATGCAGCAAAGGTCCTCGTAGTTCCTCACACTGGCTGGGCAGGATTCAGAGAAACAGTTAGTGTATGGCTGCTGCCCAAAGCACAGCAAATGCCCAGGAGAGGATGGCGTTTGTCTCCTCTTCACTGGTAGCACTCTAGGAAGGAAGTAACAGCTTCCTTTCTGCCAGATTTCACTAACACAAATGGGAGAAAGAGGGGCCCTGGGCTCCAAGCGCCTTCTGCCGTGCAGCTGCCCCATCAAGCCTGCCCTCCTGCCCAGACGCACACAATCGTGTCTCCTTCCACTTTTGCCTCCCATAAAAAATGCCATAATTTGTCTTCCAAGCTCCAAAAATGCCTGATATGTAGACCGTTGCCTTGTATGAAGAACAGCCCACATGATCCAGGAGCCAGGAACTAGGAGACTCAGCTCCCTGTCTGTAGCTCAACATCCTTCTTTAATGAACAATAATTTCTACCCAGTTCATTATGATGTTTTTTTTTGAGTTTTAGTTAAAGGTGTCCTGTCAACTATTAGTGAGATAATTAATTCTGGCATTAGACTGCCCGTGCGAGGAGCCTGTGTTAGCACGAGTCCTTGCGAAGCTCTGCGTACAGAGACCTTGAGCTAGTGCGGGAGCTGCACAGAGCACTGCTGCTTTGGTTGCTTCTAAAAATGCAGTCAGAAAATTTGCCCTTAAATGCCTCCTTGAACAGAGAGAAACACTAATTAGTTCATGTTTAAAAACCGTTTCCAAATGAAACAGACTATACTCTTTTCTTAGAACTTTGTTTCCTAAACTACAATGATTTGAGCTGCTGTTGCTGCTTCTGCCGCCGCCGCCACCTCCTCTTCTTCTTCTTCTTCTTCTTCTTCTTCTTCTTCTTCTTCTTCTTCTTCTTCTTCTTCTTCTTCTTCTTCCTCTTCCTCTTCCTCTTCCTCTCCTCCT